TTACTGATAGTATATAGTACCATACGGTTTTGTGAGGCGGAATATCATGTCTTTACTTTGTTTGTACGTTTTAAGCATACTTGTGCTTTAAATATTGAAATAAACGCTGTTGCTTCCGACAGGCACTCCCTCTGCGGCCGGTCGATGGAAGTTTGCGCTGGACTGCGTCAGGCATGACATCAGAGAACGCAACAGGTATAGTCTTCTTATTGAATCTGCATCTATTTATAAAATATGTATTTTTATATAGAATATGCATCTAGTCAAAGAATATGTATTTATTTATAGAACATCCATCTATTCATAGAATATGCATCTATTTATAGAGCATGCACCTATTCATAGAATATGCTTTGGTATGAGCCAGTCAGAATGCAACGAGTATGGTGTATTAATAGGACATCTATCCTCTTATATAGTAGTCTCTCGCATACGTCAGTCTTGACATTAGAGAACGCAACAAGTCTATTATTAGAACAGGCATCTATGTATAAAATCTGCATTGGACTGCGTCAGGCACGGCATTAGGGAACACAACAAGTATGGTCTATTAATAGGACGTTTATCTATTTATAGAATATGCTTTGGCATGTGTCATGTATCTATTTATACAATATGCTTTGGCATGTGTCATGTATCTATCTATAGAATGTTCTGGCATTTGTCATGTATCTATTTCTAGAATATGCGTTGGCATGTGTCATGTATCTATTTATAGAATGTGCTTTGGCATGTGGCATTTATCTATTTATACAATATGCGTTGGCATGTGTCAGGTACGACATTGGAGATGGCAGTAGGTATGCTGTAATAGTGAGAAGTGTATCCGTTTAGCAAACCAGCCATACAACACAACATACATTTGCGGCAGTAGCACGCACTTGTCCTGTCCGGCCCTAAACTTGTAAAGTAGGGGTTGTCCACTTTTTTGTGTGTGTGTGGAGAATTCCAAGTACTGTGCATGTTGGGTTTTTTGTTCGTATGACGGCCAGCCATCTATATCGCAGTACATGAATTATATGCAGATTCATTTTTTTCCGTTTTTCAATCTCATTTTCCCTTTATTTTGCAAAATCAGTCGCATTTTGTTCTCTATCCATTCCTGCAACTCCACACCCTTGACTATACATCCAAACAACTAGCAGTCCCCAAAATCCCTAATAAAACAAAAAGCCGTTTTCACACCTTAATTTGTTCGCCTTTTGAAACCATTTAGGGTTACAGTGCGATCGTTAAACCCCTAAAACTCTAAATACTAAAGTCTAAACCCTAAACCTTAAACCCTAACCCCTAAACCATAACCAATGCAGACGGTACACGTGGGCGTATTTCAAAAGTAGGCGATTGGCTAAAATCGAGTACATCTCTGCGTATGTGGTCAAAGAGACCCAATTACCGGTCCCAGAATCCGTTACAAAAGTACTGGAGCGTTTGGAGAAGGAACTCACTTTCGAGGATATTCGATACTTCCGGTGAGTTAGGCTGGATACGCAATGCATAAGCTATACATGTATTGATTGGCCTATATATATATATATAATGGCAAGTAGCGTCGTATAGATG